GGCCATGAAGATGTTGGGAATCTTTTTTCTCTTCCAAATGCTGTCTTCCTCAGTAGAGAACATCTAATTTGGCAGCTGTTCTTTGTCCCACCATCTCTGTGTTTGCCCAGCCTGTTTACAGCCTAATAACTTTTAGCTTTGGTATACAAATCTAATAAGCTAATAGATGAGCAGATTCATAAAGTTGGAGGACTTTAGAGGTCTTAGTTTCTTTTTATTGTTTTCAATATTGCTCATAAGCTTTAGCTCACTCTGAGCTACCCTGTTCCATAATTCTCTGATTATGTTCCCTACCTCCCATTCCCCATAGATAGAACAGAATTCTTTATTGGACAATTGTGATTGGACACAAAAGGAATTTGTTTCCGGTGCAGAAGCTCTGTCTACATATAAGCAACAAGTGATAAATCATGATAATCATAAAATGCAATCATCACAAATCATAAGTTACAACACTCAGTGATAATCATAGGATAAATAAAAGCAACAATACTCCATCTTTTTCCTAGCATTGTAATTTAATGATGTTGGGCATTATTGTTTATTCCTTTTGTCTTTTATTCCTTTTATACATCCATTCATGCTTCCACTTTCTCAGTACAAATGAAAACCGACAGACATTAAAAAAAAAACCTCCACCGAAGGAAAAAGAATCCCACGGAGAGAGGAATAGAAAAGGAGGAAGAGAGAAAGAGAGACAGGACTGGAAACTTATGCAAACAGGTTTTGAGGCGATGAACTGAGATTTGAGTGAATAAATTGCCGTAAATGGTAGTGGAAATATTATCCCAGTTTAAACTAAGTCTATTAAAGCTATTGGTTATCTACCTCCCCATGACCGATCATTACACCTTGGTGTATGTAAGATTTCACTGCAGGTTTAAGAGAGAAGCTATTGTTCCTGTAAGGCTAATTATGTTTTTGCACTGCAAGCGAGGCTCAAGTCGTCACTCAGTTTCCCTAAAACTCGAATAAAGTCCCCGTGACTGGCTGACCCCGGAGGGTCCAGATATGACCGGCTGGCCACATTGGCTGAACTGCAGCAAGAGCTGAGCCAGAGAGACTCGGCTCAAGCCCGCTCGAGGCTTTCGGAAGAGAGACCTTTGTTTGCTCTGCGAGGCGACTCCCGGGCCGTGACGCGATCCCCCCGCCCGGGCCAATTGGGCAGGCGTTGCCGTCCGAAGGGCTGTCTCCGGCGAGACCCTCCTCCTCTTCCCCCTGCAACGCCCGGCGGGGGTCCTGGGGGCTCGGAATGCTATATAAGCCCAATGCGAGCCAGCCCTCTGCCCTTCTCGCAGCCTGCAGGGCTTCCGTCAGATTGGAGAAGCTGAGAGGCGGTAAGAAGAGAATCCGCAGTTTCCCTCCATCCCGCTTGATCGACCGCTTCGCCTCCGGTTTCAAACAAGACCCGCTTGTTTTCCCGACAGCTTTCCAAGATGCCGGACGGTCGATGGAAGCGAGCGGTGCTTTTGGTGCTGCTGAGCCTTTGTTCGGGCGCGGCGGTCGGGGGCTCTCAACCCCGCGGGGGGAAAAGCAAGAGGCAGTCGCAGCAGATCATCCAGCCCGCCCTGCCCGCCGGCCACAACAAGCGTGAGTGGTTCTGGGATGAGCCGGAGCGGCTTCTCGGGAGAGGAAACGGTCGGGGACCAGCAACGCTTGGATAAAACCGACATCAGACTTAAGGGGCGCGCCGAAAGTTGTAACGTTGGGTGGTTGTGAAGGGTGGGGTGGGGGGATAAAATGTACTATATGAATAATGGGTTAATGGCTCTTTCTTGAGTCTGCTCGGGTCCAACACATGAAATCATCAGATTGAGACGAAGAAAATTTTGCCAAAAACAAAAGGGATGATGGGGAGAAGTATTTTGGAACTGAACTTTAGGTAGGGATTTAGCGATGCCCGTCCAAGGGTCTTACAGGCTGTTAAAGCAATTTAGGAGAACCTTTTAATGGTGCGAGAGTTACTTCCCTTGTGGTCTCGTGTCTCCAGTTAGCTTTGCCAGTTTGATAATCCATCAGGGACCCTTGGATGCGAATGGCTGGACAGCTAGGACGTTTCCAGTGCAACAGCTTTTTCCAGGGAATTTTCAGATTAATTGAACTGAACCGTGTTGTCGAGAGGGGAATCCTCTTGGTTATTGCAGTTATATCCAGTTTTTCTGCCAAGGAATTCAAGCTTGAGCTTCCTTTGAGACTCAAGCCTAATTAAAGATTTATTGTTGGAATATATATTACATTACATTGAGCCCCAAGAAAATTATTCTGAATACTGAATGCCATCTGATTAGATTGGGCACCCTACTCTTGGGCAAGTCTGGTAAAAGATTTGCCACTTCCCAAGTTTTGCCAGTTTGCTGTGGCTGGGGTGGTAATTCTTAATTTTTATTTTTTCCATTGACACCAGTGAGAAGCAAAACTATCTCATCAGAATTGCCAAATTGTGTGAAGATGTTGAGAAAGCAACATTTGTTGGTTTTGTTTTTTAATCCAGTTGGAGATGGACTCTTGGTGGTTAAATTCCGTATTTCAGGGCCTGCTGGTGGAAACTTTATTTCCATATATATTGATTTTTTATAAGAGATGTTCCCTGGTCTGTTAGATTCTTCATTACTGAGAAAAGGGATTCTTGTCCTGGCCTATTTCTCTTTCACATACATTTGCTTGTTTAGGATAAATTAATTTTCCTGAAATCCAGGCATTTCTCAAGAAGAATATAAGTTAGCATTCAATTTTTTCACTGCAGCTATACCAGCTAAAGAGAAAAAAATGAGATAATCCAGAAAGGATAACTTTCTATTTGTTCTCTTCTCTTACAGAAGAACTGGAACCAAAAATTTCTATATTACTTATGATTGACTTGAAAGTAAAAGAGGGGAAAACATCTTTCCTGCTATAAAAACAGACTTTAAAATTAAGATGTTTGAATTAATTTTGAAAAGTATAGAACATACTTTTTCATTTTAAAATCTGTATGTGAATTGAGAAAAGAGATGCTGAAATAACACTTTAAAATTGTTTAGAAAGTATGATTTTCCATTAAAGCTAAAGTTATCTCAGGAAATGATAAGACTGTAAATGTGGGGAAAAGGCTTGGAAATTAAAAAAGAGAGGGACTAGTTCTACTTTGCAAGAATAAATCTGCTTAGGGAAGAGAGCCAACGTTTCTTTCAAATCTTTTGGGGTCTTTCCATCGACTTTCATGAAACATTGGATTAAGCCTCCCACTTGAGCAATCTTTTCCAGCTGTTAACATGCTGCTCCAGAATGAAAAATCTCTTGTGGTTTAATCCTATACATTTAAAACATGGTTAAACAAGAGACGGATGGAACTGTTTTGAGTTTAACTCCAGTCTTGAGTTGCCTGCATCTAATATTAAATTACACAGAAGTTTCAAGATGTATAAGGAATGTCTGGCCAGGAGTTAATGTCTATTCCATGCATGTTAGGGGCTGACACTGCTTTCTTCCCCACATTCTTCTCCTCACCAGGAGAGCCACGCTTGGTCTCAATGATAGGATGCAATTAAACAATGCTCTTTCTTTCTCAGAGGGATGCTATGACAATGGACAACATTACCAGATCAACCAGCAGTGGGAGCGCATTTACTTGGGGAAGACCCTGGTCTGTACTTGCTATGGAAGCAGCCGAGGATTCAACTGTGAAAGCAAACCGGAGCGTAAGTTGGATGCGTCTCTTGACAAACTTCTGGCCAAGAACACCTTTTCCCCCCCTAAAATGAAAAGTAGATATTTACATGGATGGAAATATCCTGGGCTTTTAGTTCTTGGAAAAGACAGCGTCCACATGTAACATTTCTCCCTCTGAAGAAGATTACTCCTACTGTATTTTTTCAGTTTAGTCTCCAAGCCTGTCAATTTCTGACTGTTCCTGTCTACTGCAGATTGGGAATACCCTGGAAAAACCTTGCATTATTTTATGAAACAGATTATTTCTTTATTGGTATGGTCTTTATTGTCATTGTACAAAATAAATACAACAAAATTGGTTAGGTAGGAAATTGGTTCCTACTGTAGTTTTCACACGAATTCGACTCAAGAACTGCTAGCATGGATTAATGTATCAGTAGATTTTTGTGATTACAACTGGAAGGCCCCCAACTACTGTAGAAAATCCTGGGGGGGGGATTCTGTGACCCACAGATAATTTATATCAAGGCTTCTCTGGTGCCCTTATTTTTAATCAGGAGAATTCCGAGGGACTTGAATTGCTTGACATATCCTTACCATTGTACAGACAGATATTGTCAATGTAGAGGTAGAGCGGATTAGGAAGTCAAAGTCATTTTATGATAAGATTATAAACGCAAAATCTTCTTACAAGTCTAAATGCACCCCTCCCCTTCATCTTCATGACAACGGGTGAGAGTCTGGTCTTAGAGGTGCTTTCTCAGTTTCCAGTCTGGACTCGGTTCTTTTATCGGACTGTTAGTAGCTGCTCTTCCTCCTGCGGTCATTCTTTGTGCCCATTACAGCTGAGTGTGGCAGTAGGTAAAGTGTCTTTTAAGAAAGCTTTGTCCCTGGACGTCTTGCTTTACGTAACTTTAAGAGGAACCTTCGGAGGGTGCTATGTACTCTGAAGAGGACTCATTGGCCCCCTTAAGCTCTTCTGCTTGGCTTTGTGAAAAGGTTTGGCTTTGCCTTGTCAGAAGGAAGTCACAGCCTTAATGCTCTGCAGATAACAGTGTACAGAAGGACACCCCCATGTAAGATGGGATGTTAGAGAAAATGCTGCAATAAGACTGGAGGAGAAAAAAAAATCTGGCGGGTCAGATTTGCTATGGAAAACATTTTGAAGCAAAGGAAAAAGAATATCCAAAAATTGAGAGGACGAAGAAAAAATTCTTCTTGTGCTACTAAAAGAAGTTATTAAACAAATTAAATTTATTAATTTTCATGTCCCCATGTTAAAAAAGTTATACCGCATTGGAGATACAATAAGATAGAATAATAAAACTCTATATAATTATAGAGTAAAATAATGATTGGAAATTACAACAGATTTCAAACACTTTGCATGTCACTACAGAAACATTGTGGTAATAGGAAGTAATATGTTCATGCTACCTTGTGCTTAGAAACAGGTTGTGCCACTTCTTGTCTTCCCCCCCCCCCTTTCTGGAGTCTGCTCCCTCCACACTGCTGCCCAGGGTCCTTCCTGCCATCTCCCCCTCCATGAGCATCATCTCCCAGATTCTCTCTCTAACATTGTATTTAGCAGAATTGCTCCTCAGTGCCTCATTGTCCTGCAAGAGATGTATAATCTCATTTCAATATCTGAGGTTATCTGTGTCAAAACATGTAGGATGATAATTTAGAAGTGAAGCCCAAGATTTACCTTTTGTAGATATTCACGTGTACATATTGTACGTACGAATAAAGGACAGGCATTGGATAGGCAAGGATGATGCCATTGCAAGAGTGGCGCAGTGGTTAAATGCAGCACTGCAGGCTACTGCTAGATCAGCAGTTCAGCGGTTCAAATCTCACCGGCTCAGGGTTGACTCAGCCTT